TATATATATATATATATATATATATATATATATATATACACATACATATATATATTTACTTATACATATACATATATATATTTTTTTTTTGGAGGACTTTTTTGTTCAATTTGACCTAAAGTATAGGTAGACGAGGCAGTCGTCGCTAGTATAACTCATTTACCATATTCTGCATGATTATTCACAAGTTTTCTACAATTAATATCTCGATAATTATTGCGAATATCGCAAAACGGTATAGGACTTTTATGTTCCCCTCAATCTGTTTTATGTCCCCACAAAATGTCCGGAGGAGAGTGTGAGACACCCTGTATATTCTATAAGATTTTATTTAATAATTCATTTAATTGTTAAAAAAGATTAACTATAAATTCTTTACAAATTTGATATTGATTAAATATATATACATACATGTGTGTGTGTGTGTGTGTGTGTGTGTTTAATCAATACCTTTGTAAAGAATTTGTAGTTAATCTTTTTTAACAATTAAATAAACGAATTATAAAATACAAAAATAACGAAATAAAATCTTATAGAATTTTATTAATTTGATCTATGCTATATATTTTCAAAAAATTAAATATTTAAAAAATATATATATAAATATAGTTATACATAATTTTATATAACAATACTCTAACTATGAAATCATTATAAAATACTATAACTATAATCATTATATAATATTATAACTATAAAATCATTAAAAAAAATTTTTTTTTTATTTTAGTTTAAATTAACGCCTTAACAAAATGTTGAATTTGGAATAGTTAGTGTGAAAATTGTTATAGTAAAATATGTATTTTACCTAAAGATGGATCATACAATCCACCCTTTAGAGGATGCCCAAGGATGTTGAAAGACAGTGGTGTTCTAATTTTTGTTACACTTAAATTTCTTACATCATTAGCTGTAAATACTGAGAACATCAAATATTTTGGATCCAAGTGTTTTGGCGTTGTACGTGACTTATATCTGAACTTGTTCATTGTCATGATGTTTTTTAATTATTATAAATCTGTAAAAATATTGAATTAGATTTTAAAATATTTCGTAACATATATATTTCTACTAAATACGTGGATTAAAATGCTTTAAGAACGTTTCAAATATCACATGCAGATAACTTCCTAACCTATGTAGATAACCTATGTAGATCAATTATTACAAAAACTATAATTATTAAAATACTAAAAAGTCTATTTTAAAGGATGCATCTATATATGAAACGTAATTAAGGTTCTTCTAATTGTTATTGTCATCTTTGATTAATATTAAAATTATCTAAATTATTTTGCCATTAACGAAAAACGGTAAAACTGAGAGACCTCTCCTCCTCACTAATTTGGTTGAAACTTAGTAATATTATGTAATTAGATGCGTAAAAAAGGAATATGAAAGAAAAAAATGTCGCTCGTCCTACCTTGCATAGGGGTCTTGCTAATCTTTTCAGTATTTATTTTAGTATGTAGTAGACTCATATACTAAGGTGAAGATTTAGTAGAACATTCTCCCTTGTGTAGGAGTCTTGCTAATCTTTTCAGTATTAACGATTTTTAATATATTGTAAACTAATTTATTTAGTAAGGCGAAAATTTAATGGATATATTCTCTGTGACAACATGTAAAAGTACACAAATGTGAAATATGTATGTACTTATAATGTATTTCTTATATTTCTATGAATATCTAAATATCTAATAAATATCTTTGCTTTACTAAATAAATGAATCTACAATATACTAAAAATTGTTAATACCAAAAACATTAGCTAGACCCCTATGCAAGAGAGAATGTTCTACTAAATCTTCACCTTACTAAATGTATGAGTCTACTATATACTAAAATGAATACTGAAAAGATTAACAAGACCCTTACACAAGATAGGACGTATGAATCGCAAGCAAAAGCAACATACATTTAACACTATGCAAGATACATTTTTCTTTTTGTTTTAGAATGTTATTTTTATTTTATTTATTGTTATTTATATCAAACCGAGTTGGACGAAGTCCCCCCCGAATCCCTGACCAGGGGCTTCGTCCCCTGGACCCCCAGTTCATCGTTTGCAAATGTTTGAATGCTAATGTTTCAATAATGCTGTGTTATCCATGTATGTTCAAATATATGGTAAAACTGAAGGAGACCCTTTCTTCTAACTGATTTGGTTGAAACTTTGTAATATTAGGCGATTTTTGACAATCGTTTGGTACATATATCTGGTTGTCATTGACCTAATTTACACCAAACATTTAATATATGTACTAAGTATCTGTACAATATAAATGTCCAAAATACAATTCTAGAGACGTCGCAGAGATATCTGGATATCTCTGGAAGATATTTTGGATATTTGTGTTGTATGAATATTTAATACATATATAAAATGTTTGATGTAAACTTGCCCAATAACAACCTGGTACATGTACCAAACAATCGCCAAAAATTATGTAATTAGATGCGTAGAAAAGGAATATGAAAGTATGCACATATACGCTGTCGACATAACAGATTGTATAACCTCAAAACTTTATGTCATCTTTTACCGCATTATAACTTTACCATCATCATCATCGATCATTACGATTAACGAGCGACATTTTTTACTTTCATATTCCTTTTCTACACATCTAATTAGATAATATTACTAAGTTTCAACCAAATCGGTGAGGAAGAGAGGTCTCCTTCAATTTTACTCTTAAGATATACTTACACATATACTTTTCCAATATAAATATAAATGATAAGAGTAAATAATAAAAATAATTAACGATCACTATAAAATAACGATATCCAAACTATCGTTTATACCATGACAGAGAAGGCAACTACGCCGGCTTTAAGGTCCTTGCACAATGCCAGGAACAGGCAATAGAAATAGGCATTAGCCAATAGGAACAGAAAGTAGAAATAATTGACCAATCCGAATTCCTATTCCCTGTTCTTATTACCTGTCGCCTGGCTTTCTGCAAGGGCCTGTGTGCTTCCCGCTTAATATGCCGTATGCTTAGAGCATATACAGGGTGTCCCACAACTGGTAGAACACGTGCTACGGGTAGGTAGGGAATGTAATTTGGAACTAAAAGTTCCTCTTCCATTTCTGACAATTAGTTAACGAGATATTAATTAATTAAGTCTGCCAAATCCTTCGCGCCCTGAGTGAGCGCTCAGGGACGTAGGACTCCGTGAGTTCCTCAAGGGTTCTGCTTGTCCGTTTTTCTCCCCTTTTTGTACATACATACTAAAATCATTCATGATACTCAACCATCGACATGCAGAAAACATTCAAGTCACCTACGCACTCGAAGAAAACATACCACACATGCCCTCCTCCTCCGGCACATAAAATGCAATCACTCCGCCCATTCGCACTAAAAAGATTCAAATTATTCATGCACTCATAATCGCACACAAAAACACCCATACACATCATCCCTACACATTGAAAACTTGCCACCCCCTAGCCTCGGACAGGCACCTACCACACACCCTCTCATTCACTCATGTATATTTATTCCTCTGTGACAAAAAAGGAAAGAAAAACGGACAAGTAGGGTCCCTGAGAAGTCCATGGCGCTCTACGGCCCTGAGCGCTCACGCGGGGAGCTAAGGAATTGGCAGACTTTATTAATATCTCATTAACAAATTGTCGGATCCAAAAATAGAAGAGAAACTTTCAGTTCCAAATTTCATCCCCTACCTACCCTTAACAGGTGTTCTACCAGTTGTGGGACACCCTATATATATGGAGGGGAATGATGGCATGAAAGTGGCTGCGTTCCTTTTGGGTGCTCATGTGCTGTAAAGCCCGTATCAGACTATAGATTAGGATTGAGATTGAATTGAAAATTGGCCAATCAGAGCAAAGTTCACCAAACTTGAGCTTAGTGAATTTGCTCTGATTGGCTAAATTTTAATTCAATCTCAATTCTAATCTATAGTCTGATATGGGCTTAAAGCCCGTATCAGACTACGGATTAAGATTGAGATTGAATTGAAAATTGGCCAATCAGAGCAAAGTTCACCAAACTTGAGCTTAGTGAATTTGCTCTGATTGGCTAAATTTTAATTCAATCTCAATTCTAATCTATAGTCTGATATGGGCTTAAAGCCCGTATCAGACTACGGATTAAGATTGAGATTGAATTGAAAATTGGCCAATCAGAGCAAAGTTCACCAAACTTGAGCTTAGTGAATTTGCTCTGATTGGCTAAATTTTAATTCAATCTCAATTCTAATCTATAGTCTGATATGGGCTTAAAGCCCGTATCAGACTACGGATTAAGATTGAGATTGAATTGAAAA